CTACCCTACATCCCTTGCTAGCTAGCTGCTCTTCTTGCAGTGCAGGACACAAGAGATCAATTACTGTCTTAATTTGATTTTGATATATATGCTTCCTGGATTTGGTAGTGTTATATATATTTTCTCTGGCCCAAGTAGTTGCAATGTAGTGTAGGCTTGGAATGCAATACTTTGCTATGCGTATGTATGAGCTGAAAATAAATACTACCAATGCACATGTTCCATCTTTATTACTTTAAATGTATGTTTACTAATTAAAAAGTATTGAAAATATATAACTAGATGAAAGTATTTTTCATGGAAAATCTAGTAATATTATTTTCCCATACTAAATCCAAATAGTTTTATATATAGTGATTTAAGATTTTAGAGGTTTGACCATGCGCATTATAGTGCGTCATTTATTCGAGAACGGAAGTAGTAATACAGTAGTATTATAGACAGTACTCCATCGATTGTATGTAAGTACAGAAGGCATTATGTATGAATAATTTCAATGTCCTAGTTTTTTTTTGTTTCCATGTTATGATTAGTCTAACTTCAATCACGAAAGTTTAAAAACTTTGAACGTCGATATATTACCATGTATATATATTTAGATTGAAGTGTGACAATCATATATGTATATTTAATCAAACTAAGTTGGATTATTTTGCATAGAAATAATTAATGCCCAAAATGGGATGCTTTCTGTAACCATATGGACCACACATGTATCTGACATATATACACCACACGAATTGATTATTTGTTACAATATTATGTTTATGAAGAGAAACAAATTAAACTGCAGGTTTTTGTAGAGAGAAATAAATGAGGATCACAAGGCAGTAGAGTGAGTGAGTCCAAGGCAAGGTCACAGGTCCTCCACTGATCACACCTTGTCTTTCACTCCAAAAGAGCGGCTGCCCCGGCCCACGCGCATACAACTATATATATTATTTCAGAAACTACATTTTGTTATATATATGCGCGAGCATCAGTGCATGCTGCTACCTATATATACGTGTCCAAAACTCATCAGAAACTCCATATATATTGTGGCCTGGATAGCTTTGGAGTTATGCCGTTCGATCTCGTGATCTCAGATCAGCTAGCTCAGCTCCTATATAGCTTCCAAATGGAAATGGGCAACATTCATGTGTATGGATATATAGATGCATGTGGATAATATGTGTGGTTGCATACTTGGCTGGAAACACCGGGATTGGAAAATAAGAAAAATTTCATATGTACCCCTAAAATTTCACTCATTCTCTTGTATACCCCTAAATCTTTATTGAGAAAATTTGATCCATACCACGGAAAACATGCCGGTAAAAAAAATAGCACAAAAACTTCCTACTTTCGATCAGAAGCACATGACACCCATTTTTTTTCGATCAATAGCACTTCCGTCATAGCCACCGTTCTGCTCAAGTGTTTAGCCATGAGTTGAGACAAAGAAAGACCAATTTGCCCTTGCTCTCCATCCTCCTCGGTGTTCCCTATCTCTGTCTCCATCCTCGCCTTCCCCCCGCCTGGCACCCATCCCCATCCGCCATACATCTGAGTCCTAGTGTACAGTATTCCTATGGCTGCAGCAGTAGTGGAGGTGGAGGAGGGAGGCGGTGGCGGTGTCGTGGTGCTGATCTTCGTGGAAGGTATTCTGAAGGGCGTGGAGCCCACAACCTAGAGTCCATGTTCGCCTCTATCGGCTGCGTCGCTGGCATTGAGTTCGTGCGCACCAATGGCTTCCACTACCCCTCCGAAAAGGCCCTTGCCAAGCTCTTCTCCACTGTACGCATCGCCCCCTATCTTCTCATCCTTCCACCACTTCAGTAGTAGCCATCACCAGTCGATTTGTAGCTTCTGTTTATTCCTACAATTAATACTAACCTCAGTGCATGAATGGAGATCAAAGAATGAAAAATTGTGGGTGTGTAAGATGATTTTACCGAATAGTAATAGATTAGGGCGTGTTACAATTGATGCCATGTTTGCTGAATTGTTGTTGGCCTGAGACTGTTTGAGTAGGGCTGTCAACGAGCCGAGCTCGAGCGAGCTCGTCTGCCTAGGCTCGAGCTCGATACAAAGCCGAGCTCGAGCCGAGCCTATAAAATATTCGAGCTTTCTGACAGGCTCGGCTCGAGCTCGACCAAGCTCGAGCTCGACTACCGAGCTTGATTTTTAAGTAAAACAATATATATTTGAAAGATAATCTTTAAAAAAATAATTAATTTCTAGTTCATCATATTAATAGAAGAGGAAAAAAGAATAAAATAAATATATGATGTCAATATAAGGCATACAAATAACATATTCGATCTCCTAATTTATTAAATAACAACAAAAATCATATATTACTAGGCTCGTTGGAAGCTCGAGCTCGGCTCGACAAAGCTTGCGAGCTTAGGGAGAGGCTCGGGCTCGGCTCGTCTGGAGCTCGAGCCAAGCTCGAATCGAGTCTAGGACGAGCCGAGCTCGAGCAGCTCGTGAGCCTCGAGCTTTTTTGACAGCCCTATGTTTGAGAATGACGCTTGCATGCGACGGGCGGAGGGAAGATGGTGGTGGTGGGCTACTTGCTCAATAATGGCGGCTAGCGACAGGTGGAGGGGATTGGTGGCTGGCTACTTGCACGATGGGGATGGGAAGAAAGGAGACGAGCTAGGGAAATTAGTCCGAGGAGAAATTCTCTACTCAGAGCTAACACCAGTTGCTTAAAATACGATGAAAGTGCTATGGATCCAAGGAAAATTGGTAGCTTGTGCTTCTGGTTGAAACCGGGAAAGTTTTATTCTATTTTATAGTACCGGTTTATTTCCTATGCTATGGATCGAACTTTCTATTTGATCAACTAACATTCAACTAACGGAAAGGATATAAAAGGATCAAAACTAAAATTCGAGAGTATACAAGGAAAGAAGCAAAACTCAGGGGACATGGAAGGAAGAACTCGCTAGATGTTTAGGGTATACAAGAAATTTTCTCTTCGAAATTAATGCTCCAGGGTTTCTTCTCTTTCTTGGTGAGAAAATATTTTTAAGGTATTGGTACCGAGAAATATCATGTTTTATAGTGTAAAATTGTACTTAGATACTAGGTACCAAATTTGACAATAATAAATAGTCAGCTCTCATGAACCTTAGAATTTTGCTCTTCTTGGTTATACTTTTAGAACTACCTTATATATATCTTTTTTTTAGAAAAGAAAATCCTAATATTATATTAGTTCATCATTTTGTAGTTCATTGGATAAAACAAGATCGAAGTTTGAACCCGAGAAACTCCCTCTTCCCCCTCACACTCCTACTGTAACCTAAAACACCAACTTGGAGGGCTCCTTGGATCATGCCGGAGCTGGAGCTAGAAGAGCTTGTTCTAATAATGAATCATGGAATTAATGGCTGGAGCAAATCAGACCGGCCACAACTTCCCTAATGTTGTTAAGTTTGTACTATTCATGCTGTTGGTGACTTTGCTCTCTTTCTCTAAATGGGTATTCCTGAAAAATTGAATGGAGATTGGCATTTATACGGGACATGCATGCATGGCGGACTGAAAGAGGGTCTGTTTATTTTGTTGTTAAGATTAACCTTCCTAAATTTTAGTTATACCAATGTTTGATAATTTTTAACATTACGGAATTTTGGTAGCTTTAGAGATGTTTAGTTTTATGCCCTTTTAAATTTTGGTAGTGTTTTTATGAGAGGAAAATTTCGAAACTACCAAATTTTAGTAGAATGTCATTGGAAACATCATATTTAGTTTATTATCTTACTAAAATTTAGTAACATCAAACTTTAATAAGGTTGAAAATGACAAAAAAATAAAAGCCGCACAATAATTGAGCACGTTTGAGAGAGCTAGCAAGTAGTTATACGGTACTCCCTCCGTCCAAAAAAAAAAAGTTTATGTCATACCAAATGTGTATGGGCTGCAAGAAACGGGCCCAGAGCAAGGTGTTCGCTCGCCCCGTACATAATTAGGCCTTCCTCGTTTGGTCCATCCAACTTTGAGCAAGTAAAGGCGCCTTCCTCTCTGATCGATCCAACGCACGAGAAGTCGAGAACGTCCTACCTCCTACTAGCTGCCAAGGTAACCGTTCCTGTCATGACGGTTACCTGCATATTACTGTAAAAATCGTGTGGTTATCTCGAGACATATCATGGTTTTAAAAAACTGAGAAAATTACTATACATGATAGCAGCGATAACAGTAAGGTTTTATAAATACTAGTGTGATCCGCAATAGCCAATTGGACGACTTAAATACCACTTGTCGTGTCGTTCTCACTTGTGACAGGAGAATTCCTCACATCTCCTGGGTGTGTTCGTGTGCCAATTTTGTACCGTGTTATTTAGAAAATATATTACTAGAAACTTCCATGGAATTAGGGTTTGTTTAATTCTCAAACAAATTTTTTTACGTTGTTACATCAAATGTTTGGATACATGTATGGAGTATTAAACGTAGAAAAAAAAACCAATTATACAGTTCGACAGGAAATGCCAGACGAATCTTTTAAGCCTAATTATGTCATGATTTGATAATGTGGTGCTACAGTAAATATTTGCTAATAACGGATTAATTAGGCTTAGTAAATTAATCTCGTTGTTTCCTAGCGGAATATGTAATTTGTTTTGTTATTACACTAGTTTAATACTCGCTCCATACTCACAAAGGAAGTCGTTTAGAACATCGACACGGTCTCTAAAATACAACTTTGACTTCTTTTTTCTATAAAAATATTCATTGAAAATTGATATATGTATACTTTTATGACAGTATTTTTCAAGACAAATCTATTCAAATAATTTTTACATTTTCAAACTCAACAACTTGAGAGTTATTCATGATTTATATTCCCAAGGTTTGATTTAAATATTGTCCTAAACGACTTCTTTTACGAGTATGGAGAGAGTACTTTAAATGTGTGTCCGTATATCCGATATGATATGTTGGGGTAATTTATTTTTCCAAGTAAACAGGCCCTTAACCGAGCGGGCCGAGATTCACTGGTAGGAACGAACATGGACGTATCGTCTGTCCTCGTTCAAAATGAACCACAAACTGATTTGCTCCTCCCGAAGGTTCCACTGAATCATCGAATCCCTCTCCTCTCCTCACTCGTGTGTTTCCCTCCACTCCTTCCCGCCACAACGGATAACACCTCACTTCCTCAACACTCAACACAGCAGAGCAGCGCAAAACAGAGCAGACCAAGAGCAAGGAGACGACGACGACGACGACGATGCAATCCCTCCTCTCCTCCTCGGTGCTCGCCAACCCATGCACCACCGGCTCCCCGCTCTTCCCGCCGACCGCTGCTAAGCTCGCCGCCGCTGCCTCGGTCCCGGTGGCCGCGGCGGCGAGGAGTGGCGCCATTGCTGCCGTGTCGAGGAGATCGGCCAGTGGCGGCCGGTGCGTGGTGGCGGCTGCGTCGTCGTCGTCCCCGGCGGTGACCACGGCGGAGGCCGGCGAGGTGCCCGCGACGATGAAGGCGTGGGCGTACGACGATTACGGGGACGGCAGCGTGCTCAAGCTCAACGACGCCGCGGCGGTGCCGGACATCGCCGACGACCAGGTGCTGGTGCGCGTCGCCGCCGCCGCGCTCAACCCCGTCGACGCCAAGCGCCGCGCCGGCAAGTTCAAGGCCACCGACTCCCCTCTCCCGGTGATCACCTCTCCTCAAATTATTAATCCTTCCTGCACATGGCATTCCAATCTCCTCCGCCATTGCTGAGCTGCTGATGGTGACGCGCGGCGCAGACGGTGCCGGGGTACGACGTGGCCGGCGTGGTGGTGAAGGCCGGGAGGAAGGTGAAGGGGCTGAAGGAAGGGGACGAGGTGTACGGCAACATCAGCGAGAAGGCGCTGGAGGGGCCCAAGCAGTCGGGGTCGCTGGCGGAGTACACCGCCGTGGAGGAGAAGCTGCTGGCGCTCAAGCCCAAGAGCCTCGGCTTCGCGCAGGCCGCCGGGCTGCCGCTCGCCATCGAGACCGCCCACGAGGGCCTCGAGCGCGCCGGCTTCTCCGCCGGCAAGTCCATCCTCATCCTCGGCGGCGCCGGCGGCGTCGGCTCCCTCGCCATCCAGGTCAATCAGCCAGACACCCACCACCACTGCATTAGCATCCATCAGCTTAATTTGCACCTCACATTCACGTGGCCTGAACGAACTTCCCGTACGTTGCAGCTGGCCAAGCACGTGTACGGCGCGTCCAAGGTGGCGGCGACGGCGAGCACGCCCAAGCTGGAGCTCCTCAAGAGCCTCGGCGCCGACGTCGCCATCGACTACACCAAGGAGAACTTCGAGGACCTGCCGGACAAGTACGACGTCGTCCTCGACGCCGTCGGTAAGACCCCCTCTCCACTCACCGCCGGCGAGATGCCAACCTCAAACCCCTCAACTAATTACATATGTACCTGGCTACCTTCTTCTTCTTCCATGGTGTTCCAGGCCAGGGCGAGAAGGCCGTCAAGGTGGTGAAGGAAGGGGGCAGCGTGGTGGTGCTCACCGGCGCCGTCGTGCCGCCGGGGTTCCGGTTCGTGGTCACCTCCGACGGGTCGGTGTTGGAGAAGCTCAACCCATACCTGGAGTCCGGGAAGGTGAAGCCGCTGGTGGACCCCAAGGGGCCATTCGCCTTCTCACAGGTTGTGGAGGCCTTCTCCTACCTCGAGACAGGGAGAGCCACCGGGAAAGTTGTCATCTCACCCATTCCATGAGAGCTTGACATCAATGGCAGAGCTTATGATGGTCTCTCGCACCTGAGATTCTGATTCTGAAGTGTGTCAGCATAGACCAAAATGAAGTTTATCTCATATTACAGTTCATAGAGTTACACTGTTACACAAGTTGTATGCACTGTGATGAACTGCTGAGCAATGTCCACAACCCCTCTCTAGCAATGTCCAGTTGATTTGAACAGGCAGGTGGTGCCCCGAATGTCCCAATGTTACATGAGTTTTGCTATGTAAGGGAAGGAACATCGATATACCGCGCCTCAGTTCGTCTTGAAAGGGCTGAAATTTTCGCTGCAGTTCATCTCAGTAGGTATTATGATGTGTTCATTGCTTGGGAGACAATCTGATTGGGCAGATTGCAAATGCCATGCGGCGTGCAGCGAAGGCCAGTAAGAATCGCTCGTCCTCAGTTAGTGCCCTCTCTATGACCTTGACAACAGTTGGGTCCTGACATGGGAGAAAACACAATTTTTTTTATATGTTAAACCTATACCTATTAAAAAAATCGAATAAGATATACCTATAAAAATTGATATGCATGAATGATACAATGGAGCGAGGAGAATGAATGTCTGGCGTACATATAGGCAGGTGGGCTAAGACACAAATATTCTCAGTTGGGGTCACTAGAGCAAGTGAGTAATTGGGGATGCATACCCTTATCTGCAGTTGGCTGGGAGCAGGCCGAATACGAGCGATGTCACCAACCCTGATAACATTGTTGACATTCCCATGTTCATCAGTCTCTGTTGGCAATGAAGTCGAGTGCCTCCACTGGCCCCCTGCTATGAATTTGTAATAGTACCTGAATAAAATGTTGTTAGTTGCAGATAACTCTTGATCAGCAGTGAAGGGATCAGAAATGGAGAAATGGAAGGAAGATGATGTTCCTTATCCTTTTCAGCCAATGATGAAGTTGAGCCCAAGGCATATAAGAATGTTACATGCTTCTGGGTTAGAAAATATAAGATCGAAGGACTGACTACTTACTTCCCATGTCGAAGTCGAATTTCAGCTTCATATCTTGACCCACCTTTGTGGTCACACTTTACTTTGTCTTTCCAGTTACTTGTAAAATCCCCCACCAATTCCACATCCTCACCCTAGAAAAAAATTGTGAATTCAACTTCATCAGTTTACTGAATATCAAGCTAAAATAGTGATTTTTTAGACAAAAAGTACACTGCTAATTGATGCATTCCGCATTAGGCAAAATGTACCTCCCGACCACTGTTCCAAACAAAGCATACTGAATGTGTGGGAGTACCATCATGTCTTCCGTTTTCAACTAGTGCAATGAGATCCCATGTTGCCCACACAATTGCAGCTCTGCATATTCAGACAAATGTGGACATTAAGGATCAACACTGCTTATGCAGATGGATCAAGCCCAGTCAATTAAGAAAATTATGTCAACTAACAACACCTGTCAGGTCTACAGGAGTGCAAACCAGTGATGAACTTGTGAGCAATATGGAGAGGCGTATCCTGCACCCAATGTAGATATGCAATCACACATGCTGGTGATCTATCATATCCAGTGGTACAAGTCACATATATGCGGTAGTTCTTCCTTATAAGCCGCAGTAGAAGACCAACACAGAAAGAAAGCTTCTTCCTCAGGTCCATTGAATCAACCTCTCTGAAAAAATTAAATCAGAAATGCCACTTGAGTTTGATGAATATTAGACTGATAAGCTTAGCATGCCAATAACAACTACAAATATATTATGCTACAAGAGTCAAATAGGTTTTTCACTATGATCTTTTACAAAAAGAGAAAACCATATCCTACCGTATAGGGTAGTTAACCATCAAAATGTTGTTCTCGCGACAAGAATTGTTGATTGCCTCTGAATTGATTCCCCAATTGGTGCGCTCACTTTCACTTTGAAAATTCAGAACAGCAGTGATACCCTGAAGCCTTTTGAAATATCAGAAACTTAATTTGATAATTAAAGGACACGCAAAAAGCCTTTCGAAGTACCAGTTATGAGATTTGTCATTGCATATGTGAGGAACCTACCATAGTCTCTGATAGCATTTTCACATCTCTTTCTGTTTGTAGGCATGATCCAACAAATATTTGTTCTGTAATCTGTTAAAAAATATACGGAAAATGAGTAAGCTTAAAGTCCTGAGAGGATATCAACAAGACAAAAACACTGTTAATATTAAAATCTTTTGATGCACATCCAAGAACTAATTAGTTATAGGAGGACAATTACCTTGCTGTATTGCATACCAAGTGAATGATTGTAGTACAGTTCACCTTTAGCACGGTCTAGTGCTTTAATGTACTCCTCCAAAGGAAAGCTACCATGTGCCCATTCAGTATCTGCATCATCCTCATCAGAGTACAAACCAACAATCTCACTTATACGATTTGCAAGGCTAGTACTGCGCTGATTAAGTCCATCTTGCTCACTAGACAAAACTGCCCATCCATGTGAATTTAGCAGCCTTGGCGAGAATATGGCAAATCCAGGATTTCCGTTCCCCTCAGATGATTCATTCAGCTTTGATGATAATAGAGCACCGTTCCAGCTAGTAAGAGGAACCCTACCCTTGTTAAATAGGAGATGATAATCTTCATTTTGATGCAACTGATGTATCGGGAAAGGAGCAAATGGCCTCTCAAGGACAAGATCGCATGGCCCTGACGTTTCCTTCAACACCATTCTACATGAAAGTTGAAAGGCAACATAAGAAAAGTTGTATTCATTTTGACAATCAACTAGAAATGTTACTCCACTGCTGGTATTATTTTTTAGTTGACATGTAATATTTAGACATTGCCAATGTTGCACTTGTCACATTTGCTAACTCTATTCTGTGCAGAGCTTCTGATTTCTGGAACATTTGAACTAAACCATTTTACATCATCTTACAGTCATAAAATTTTGACGTGACCTTAAATTATCAAATGTAATCAAATATGAGCTCTAAGTTCCAATAGATACAGTACATCTTACTAGTTCCAAATAGTCATATCACATTTTTTTTATTAAATTTTGCAGAAAATGGTGTAGACAGAAGAGCAAAGGAATACTGTTTCAGCTAGAGAAACTTTACTAGTTCCATACTCCGTGTCACCTAGGTCTCTGATGTCAACAAAACCCACGCCCTCACGACTGCCAGCCTTCTTCAGAGTGTCCCCTACCATGATAATCCGTGATTTCTCCGCATTCCCCTGTCACACGGATGCAGCACCAACAGTCAGCAAAATTGCAAGGCCTCCACAACCATACCCAACTAGAGATAGTTAAAAATGATAAAGATCTTAGTTCCACAACGAACAAGAAGAAAAGTTAAGTAAACTAGTATGTCAACTATTGACCAGACGACAATTTCCCAGTATCCCCTTGCTCATGACACTAACATCGAGTGGTTACAGTAAAATTCACATCAGATGAAATGAAATGCCGTAAACACCAACGTGGGCAGCATGATGCTGCCTGTGAATTTTGCTGCGCAGCAGGAGCTGTGGCAATTGCACAGCACCAAGTGAAGTGGGATGAGGTGAGCATTGAGCAGCAGCAGACTGGATGGATTGCGCTAAACAGTAAACAAATGAAGTAGCGTCGTAACCGCAGCGGGCGAGCCGGAGATGATACAAATGCTTTACCCCTTTCTTGAGGGAGTGGACGAAGACGCGTCCGTCGACGGCGAGCGCGAAGCGGACGCCGAGCGGGCGGTCGACGGCGACCATGTACTCGTTGAGGTTCATCCTCCCAGTGCCAGCCTCCGCCGCGTGCCCATGCGGCCTCTCCCCGTCCGCCGCCGCCGCCGCCGCCATGGCCACCACCGCGACACACCGCCGCCTCCCCCTCCACCACCTACTCGAGCACGAAACGGCGGGGAGAGGCGGCATCGGCGCCAGCGACCTGCAGGCGGCGGCCGCGGAGGGGGCAATGGTCGGGGCGGCGGTGAGATGGAGCGCCATGGCCGGCGGGTCTCGTCGTCGGAGGAGGGGAAGCGGCGGCGCGGCGGTGAGGAGGGATCGGAAGGGGAGAGGGGAAGCTGGGGAAGGGAGGGTGATGGGTTGGGAAGTGTGTGGAAAGGAACTCAACGGAAGGCGGTTTGTTGGGGGGGGGGGGGGGGGTCCCACTCTCTTCGGTTTTTTGGTGATATTTTTCCTCTCCTCTCGGCGCGATCACCTCGTGCCGTGCGGTGCGGCTTGCCGGCTTCACGTGGCCTCTGAAGGCTTGTGTGGATGACGTGGAATTTTTTTTTTTCAGATAAGTACGTTTTATTAACAGTACATAGGAGTAATTCTTGTCTATTTATTTGAAGGTGGAACCACTACCAGCATTCTAAAATACAGCAATTTCTTTACATATCTCCTTTTAATCAATCATAATAACATCTCTCATTTAATTTCACCACATGTTTTCTTAAGATATGTTTGGAGAGCTTCTGACAAAACTCTTTCCATCCAGATTCAAAAAAAATAATCCAGAAAAAAAACTAGTAGTAAGCTGGGGTTTTTTAGCTTTTTCATATTCTTAGAAGTTAACTATCAACCCACTACTTTTAAGAATTTTAAACTCCCCAAAATCAGATCCTTAATACCTGTAAACTCCATACTCCACCAAAGAGATGGATAGAGTACATTCCTAATTAAAAATAAGATATAGAGTCATTAACCCAGACAGCTTTGGTAAGTTATAGATAGTACTACACATATATAAGAAATATTATATGAACGTAATTCTAACCATTCAGGTATTTGTTAAATAGTGGAACATTTGATTAAAAAAAGAAAGAAAAATGGTAATTCAAAAAAAGAAAAGGAGAAAACTGCAGGATGCACTTTGACAACTTGTTTTTTTCTCTCCTTGTTAAGTAATCTCGAGTTTGAAATCCAAATTCCAATCACCTCTATAACATTACAGTCCATTGAGCACAATTCAATTCCTACAAAGGAAAAGAGAGATTTCCTGCATTTTTTTTTCTTTTCATTTTTACAAGCCTTGAATAAGTCCAGGCACAACTGCACAAGTCCACACCACAGTCCAGTCCTTGTAATCATCTTGAAAGCTATGGAACATCAACATCCGACTTACCACTTAACGACAGGCTAAGAAAGATTGGTCTCACGTAAGAACAACATTTGGCCTCACAAAAAAACGCCAACATTATCTGCTTAAACTTAATTACAATGATGGTGCATAAAAGGGGGATAAACATCTAATTCGGCTGTACAAAGCACTAGCCAACAGATCTCATCCCTCCTGGCAACCAAATTACAATCATGATTACTAATAAACAAAAAAAAAAGGACGAGCCATATCAGAGGACCAAGAGTGAACTCACGGGTTTGTTGACCAGTAACAATATCAGCCTTGTGTCCGAAAACACAAGTTCCCCGCTGAAGCAACTGTACTTTACCAGTATAATGGAAACAATGAGCCTGTCGAAGCAGCCACTTCCATTCCCATATCAACTCATGCAACACTATAGCCCGACTCTAATTTTTTGGGTATGAGCTCAAGTATGTACACAATCTAACTCTAACACATTAACTAGCTATTTTTGTTTTGATACTATATTCACCATCTAAAATATCATGGTTTATAAACTGAACTGTAAAGTTGTTAGGATACCATAGCAATCTCTCAATTGAGCCCCTTCAGTCCCATAATTATTGAGCCACCAATTCTTTTGAATTAGGTCTCTGAACTTGATCACAATGCTGTGGGCAAAACAGCGACTGTGTGATTTTGTAGAGGAAGTATGGGATCAAGGCTGTCACAACAATGACTAGAGTGGATAACCAGTATAAAGGGCTAGAAGCGCAAGCTTCCCAGAAAACATGATATGCGCTGGTTGATATTGTTGGAGGAAACGAGCCGTAGATGACCAGAAAAGTGTACCAAATCAGTATGCTGCCCCAGATGACGAAATGCTGTATCCAGGTGAAGTAGCTGATGTAGAGTGCTAGTTGGCAGTTGACAGTCCAAACTACGCAAGTATACATAGTCACTCCAAGGATGTCAAATCCAGCAACGTGGCCATCCTGTCGGACAGCTTGAATGAGGACAGCATGGAGGGCTCCAAAGTATATTATTATTGAACAGCAAACTCCGTTCAGCATCCAACTGAGTATACGAGACCAGCTGAAGAATAAATTATTCACGCCATCTTGATGTAATGAAGGGACCTGAAATATGCCAAGGACTCAGCACAAATACCAAACCAGCTCTGAAGTAAGGCCAGGTGTACATTATGACTGCACAAGCCTGGGAGGAGATTATGTACCTCGAGGCAAACACGGGAAGAGACATCTTTATCAAAGACACCTAGAGCAATGACCGGGAGAGATGTAAAGGCAACATTGTAGAAAGATATGAACCAATCGTTGTAACCAGGTTGGGCTGAGAACATAGCATGAGCCTCAAACCAGAAAAGTGTAAAGCCAAATGTGATATTCTTGAAGAAAAAGTAGCATATCTGTTCATAGCACAAACAGAATATATCAAGTGGTCAGATCGGAAGTGCTATTAATTATGACAAATAAACCTTTGAACTTTGCTACTCCCTCCGTTTCACAATGTAAGTCATTCTAGCATTTCCCACATTCATATTGATGTTAATGAATCTAGACATATATATCTATCTAGATTCATTAACATCAATATGAATGTGGGAAATGCTAGAATGACTTGCATTGTGAAACGGAGGAAGTACTTCATAGTGATGAAAATATCAACAAGTATAACAGAATCTCTAAAATAAGAAACTGCATAAGATGCTGTACACTACAGCAGGTATGCTGTATGGAAAGTCTATATGAAAACCAAGGAACCTTCAATTATTGAAAGGAAAACTGTAACATGTCTGCAATATTTAAGTGACCTCATAGACCGTAAATTTGTAACAGAGATGGAAGCACTTTACCATCGCTGCAATTCGGCGATAACACCAATGACCATGTACAAGGAGTAACCGTTCTAAAAAACGAAATTGAGCTATTGCAAAGTCACTTGCCATCACAGCCTGCAATACAAAGCAAATCAAACGTCAGGAAACAGATAAACCTTATACTACCGCTGTTTTTAAATGTATGACGCTGTTGACTTTTGAAAATGACGTTTAACCATTCACCTTATTAAAAAATTATTGTAAATATGCAAAAATATAAGTTATGGCAACAAAATACGGAGTAAACGATTTTTTTTAATAAGATGAATGGTCAAATGTTATATCCACAAGTCAACGTCATACATTTCAAAACTGAGGTAGTAATAGTTTGTAACGAGGGAAAATATACATAGTTTGTACTGTCTAAGCACAACTATTGAATTGGAAATATTGCCATTGAATGTAATCTTTATTTGTCTTTTTAATTATATATCTGTAAAGTTTAAACCTATTCTAATATATTCTAGAAGCATGCTCCCCCATACTGTCTTCCCTAAAACAGAAGACCAAAAAAAGCGTCTTATGCAAAACTACAGACCTGCATTCCTTCAGCACCACTTATTCCAACCCCAATGTCAGCCTCTTGTAGCATACCGACATCATTTGCTCCATCGCCAATTGCTAGTGTGGTTTTCCTTATCCTATTTTTAACCAGTCTGGTAATCTGCAATTCTTCCAAATAGCCAATAGCATTTAAAGATAGAAATGTGGATATATCCACATTATCTTGTTAGAAATAATTGATGAAGAAGCACCTGGTGCTTACTACTCACCAGCGCTTTCTGTTTCGGGGATATGCGACAGCATAAAACAGACGCACAATCAACTGCTAGATCCAGAAATGCGGTTTTAAGACCACCCATGAGAGCATGTGTTAGAGCATTGCCATCAATTATAAGGGCAAATGGGGCTGAAGTTCCTTTCTGCAAAATTTGCCTTCGAGCATCTTCTAACTTTCTACCAATTTGTTCGTATGGAGCCTACATGAGCAAATACAGAAGGTAAGAAACAGTAGAGTGCACATGAAGTAAACTGATACTATACATCCTCTGTTTTATTTGCTTTCAAGATGACAAGATGTATTCATACTAATTGACGTTGTCGTGCACATTAATTACTCATATTTAGCAGTTACATACTGTTATTTCGAGAACAGCTTAAAATTCTGTTATTGTGCTGACATGAAAATAATTGCAAATAGGTCAATGCATCCACTCTTAGTTAAATATTTACATACCATTCCACTGCTTTCTCCATTGTGTTCCTCAGGAACATTCGTGCCTGGGTTATCCAGAGTTATATAAACTTCCTCCATCCCTTTCCTCAAAAGGTTGCAAGCATAACTGCATATCAAGCACAAATATGTGTGAAAACTATATAGTCCTGTGAGATCTTACTTGTCAGGAACGTAAGCAACATATGGTACTAACCCTATGTTGACAGCTGTCTCCAATTTGTCACCTGTGAGAATCCAGATCTTAATTCCAGCTTGAGCTAGTTTGTGAATACACTCTGGGACCTACAGAGTCAACACATGCATTGAACATGTCCCACAAAATGAGTAGGGTGCTTTGTCTACGTACGAAAAAATTCAGGAGAAATTACCATCAACAGATATGAGAGCAACCGCACAAAATATGAAAAGTGCAAGCTATGTGACAGCAACCAAATAGAAAAATCATTTGGGGTTTTTCAGACTGAACAGGAGGCCATGTTACACCGTGAGCAAGCATAGTAAATGAAAAAAAAAAAAGAGAAGAGGATAACTTTAAAGTCTCAAATGAAATCGACATACCCCCTTTTGCAATCTGTCCTCCACAGCAGTAGCACCTAAAAGAACCAAATCTTTCTCGATATTTTCTGATGCCTTCTCAACAGCTACATCATGATCATTATGTACAGAATTCTTTGCAGCTGAGTACTCCATATTCCACGCAACATACTCGTCCTCAGTAAGTTCACGATATGCAAGTGCCAGAGTCCGCAAACCTGCCTCAGAATACTCGTCGATGTGGCACTTTGTATTTGTCAGACAAGCTTTGCTATTATCCTTAGAGAGCCTCTCAAGAATAACACTGAAGCACAAAGATAGAATATAAATTTTAAGTGAATGCTGAGGAATAAAATGTCAGCAG